CATTGTACAAACTCATGTAATCTTGGCAAGATGGACCATTTTATGGATAGGTATTTTGCATTCAACTTTAGTGGGGTGAGGATTTCACTCATGTGGTAGCTAAGCAATCTGCCAAAATGTGGAATGGACCCCAGACCTTGATGCTTTTTTCTTTTCTTTGGCCACACAGTCATGCTTCCCCTTTATGATAGTAGTAAAAGATTGCTGCTCACCACTTGCAAAAATCATACAAATTCATTTCAGAGCATTTTGTGTATTTTGATTTTCCACATATTTACACCTAATGTCTTGCCATTTCATGATCTACAAATTCCATACGCATTGCTAATATATCTTTTTCATCCTGCACTAAAAGTAACTTGAACATAAAAAACAAATAATATTTGCATGACCAGTGTATACTGAATGATCTCCATTAATAAGGTAAATGGAATCTCCTTGCCCAGAAAAATGTGTAAATCTTTGAGCAACAAAATGTAATGACACCTACTAATCTGTGTTTTGAAATGAAATACACCACCCCGAAGATGGGAACAAAAAAGCTACAAATCAGAGTCTTTACAGCTGCTGCTCCATCCTTTGAGCTACAGAATTTGCCTAATCTTCCTCCCACAAGGAAGAGCCAAGAGGTAGTCAATGCCCCTGTATTTTTAATAGCTAGCAAATCGCATTTCCCTGGAATGCAGGAGACAAACTCAAATATCTCATATCTATCCAATTTGGATCAGGAATTTGAACACCTCTTGCCTATATTCCTGAAGAATGGTCACATCATCTACAACAACGCAGTGTAAGGTAGACCCTGCTCCATCTCTCTTATCAAAGCTGCTCTACTTGCCACAAATTAGATAAATAATTGTGGGAACAAGGACTAGAACCCAAGCCTCACCCTTTCATCATTTGGCTACCAAATATCTCTTGTTCCCTCTGTAGCTGGGCAATTACAGGAAAACAAGGTCACGTGCTCCATTTTTCAGTAATTATTTAAGAAAGAATCATACCAGTTAAATTCCTGAACTTTTTTTTGGCTTCTGCTCTTTCTTCAGCATCAAAATACCACACAGTCATGGCATATCTGTAAAAGAAAGGGAAATTACTTCTTTTTCCCAATATTTTTAACATAAGAGGAGAAAATTGAAATTTCTACTTTCAAGAGAGCTAAATGCACTGGTTTATTTATTGTTAAACAGGAACCGATAAATAAAGAACTAATTTAATTAGTGTTTGATTATCTAAGCATACAATGATTTGAATTTGTCTATAGAGGTGCTCTTTATATGGGCGTGTGTGTACATGCATAATAAATGTAACCGTATATTATATAATATTACATTAAGAGTATCATAATATATAATAATATTATGAAAGAGACGCAGCACAAGTTCTAATGTATGTTTATATAGTCTTGTTTGAAGGAAAGCAAAGGCAAAAACGGTTTTACCCCACCCTTTTGCCTTTCAATTCTGGGCTGTGGCTATACACTATGAGAGATGCTCTAAGTTATGTCAGCTTTGTCTGGGCTGCTTCTGGGGCCAGTGGCAGATGTTCATTTCAAGGTGAGATGGGATCTGATCCACATAGTAGACAGTGTCTTCTGCGATTGGCAGAACATAATTTTGGGATCAGATTCCAATCACGCCCTGGTTTCTAGTGCAAGGTGTGAAGAAATCCCTTCCGCCTGTCCGTGTTTTGTTGTGTTTCTTGTTTAGGCTGTATGCTTTGCTTCTTCCCATTACTGTGTTGTATCCCAGATTCTGGGGCTGCCCCTTGCCAGATTCCGGCAGCCGCCTCACCCCACACAGGTCAGGGGAGGGGCACGTGCCCCCCTGGGCCTCCGCCACAGTGCATGCAGCAGTGGAAGCCCTGCCCCCGAGTGCCTGGATGAGACACCCAGGCTCTGACCCTCCTCCTGCCCGGCAGGGGCCCCACTTACCCAGTGGCAGGGGACACCGGGGGGGGG